TCTGTTATTAATGATTTAAAGCTTGTACATTAGGTAATCACCTCTAATGTGTTTAATGAGCCATCTACCATCCTGTTCTGACATCATTGAACATATGTAATAAGCTGAAAACCTCCATTTTTGGCAAATTTCACACCTTGTCACCCCTTCACACAGCTGTTTCTCCTTCTCCCTTGCTCATGTAATATGGCATCATCATCTATAGCCTGAAAAATCCCTTGAGATCCCTTGGCAACTTTAAATATCACTAACACCACTGTTACATATGTAAACTACCTGTAAACCCTTGTTTACCAACTTCCAAAAAGTACCATTTTCTTAATAACTTTCATTTCTCCTTATCAACCATCAAGATTAAAGTTGTTCCTGAATAATATACTTCTTTCCTTTCAAATTCTAACCTCACAAAACCCATAAACCTAATATTACTACCCTAAAAACCATTTCTAGCCTGTATACCTATATTTTTGAATTCTTCTTATGTTTTTGAATTCTTTCTTTTTGTAAACAGAGTGAGAAAAGCACCGGGAAGCACTAACAAAGACAACATAGCACTATCACAATCGGAATGAAACATTTCAAAAGCATGAAAAGCCACCTGGAGCAAAGTGAACCAGATCCAAGACACGGTACTTCATGCAAGTCGATTCCACGTTTTTATATTTTAGATGTTTGTGGATAAATTATAATGATCTTAATCATTATTGTGGAATAAGATGACCTAATCATGGCCCAATGACCAATACATCAGCCTAAAAGAGCTTCAATTGATTAAAATCCTCCATTTTGAATTTGCTTCACTGCTCAACTTTTCTGGTAAATTTGGTAAACTACTGATAATAAATTTTTGATTGATCCCATAAAATTATTATGAATGTCTTAGAGTCTTGGAACAGGGATCTAGTAGTAAGCTCTACAGCTTATCAGCACAAACTCGAACAACAATATGGCTAATGAACCTCTGACCTATAACAACAGTAGTGTGATTTAGAAAGATAATAAAGCAAGTAATGATGAAAATAAGATAAGAAGAAAGTAATTTGTACCTATAGGATGGTACACTTGGTTAGTATATAAGTTATCGGATGTTAGATAACTGATCTCTGGATCTGAAGAGGGCTTCTTTCTTTAATAGAAAACAATACAAACATAGAACATAAGCAAACAATATTATAAAGGAAAACGAAATATGGTTAAGATCAGAAATAGAAATATTTACTCACTTCTCTTCCCAAAGATGGGGAAAGAGAAGTAAGTCGAGTTCAGAGATAGAGTCTATATATGTAGTTAATGATTTCACCACATTTGATATGATGTCATAATTAATATCTTCTAACTTGAAGATGATTTTTCATCTTCCTCCTCTTTTCCTTCAATAACACGTATCCCCTAATAATCTTTCCTAATTTGATTTCATACTTCACTCGTAACTCCTAATTATTCTCTTCTTGTTGATTGCACACTTCAACAATGATCACCACAGCGGTCATATCAATGACTGAAATTTTGTACCATACTCTGGTTGTATGATGTGTTATCTCCAGTGATGGACAGATGACATTGGACAGCACCAACATGCTTGAGACTGTCCCAATGAATTTGGGCAAGATCATCCCTAGTATGGTGGCCTTCAATAGCCTGTAAGAGGAAGTTGGGAGATGCCAGGCATGCAGAACAAAGGAAGATGAAAGGATCAGATTAATAAAAAACAGTCAGTATAAAGAAATCAAACAAACTTACCTTGAATGAGTGACGGTACCCAAAGGCACGACGGTACTGTCTATTTCCACGATACGGGCTGTGGCGGGTAATGGGCAGGTTTAGGAAGATCCTTGTAACAAGGATACTTCCGGGGCGCACAAGATTCAGGTACAGGGCCGAAAACGAAATTTTCACCTTGAAAATCTTTTCTCACGCAACATCCTCCCATTCCCGCAAGTCCCACAATCGTATCTGGAAATCTACTCTCCAGGTTCTCTCTCTTGCTTAGTAAAGCTTTCAAGCTTATACTAGCATCTCTCTCATCTTTTTTCGAATAAAAATCTAAACCACTTATTTCGAATACTTTCAAAAGAACAACACCTGGTTTAATGACGCCAACCAATGGAGAGAAGAATACAAATACGGAGAATTTCCATGCGATGTTGCGAAGGTCTAGCAATAGGTTAAGTGGAGGATCGGTGCCCCCACCGGACTCAGAGATCATCGTACCCACGACGCAAGTAGCCAATCTACGTGGGAGAGGCCAAGGTCGCAGTCGAGGGGGTAGCCCGGCCAATTCTCGAGGTACTCATCAACAATCACCAAGAAGAAACGTCACCCCGGTAGTGACGCTAACGGTTCCAAGACCAGGCGATGCTACATCTACAGAAGCACAAACTGGAGAACGACCAAGCGACCAATCAACGAATGGTCAAATAGGTTCAACACAATCAGGCACTTCAGTGATTCACTCTGCGGGGTTGATTTCAAGAGACGCCGTTAGCAATGAACCGTCGAGTAAGCGATCTCCTGAATTTACCCACCTTAGGGTGATGCCGCAAACGCGATGTTTCTGTATCCACAATCTACGTGTTGCCACCGAAGAGTGAAGCCTCTAGTGAGAGTGTCACGAATTAAAGCTAAAATGAATGTTGTTTGCTTGTCATCCCCGATTTGTTTCTGAAAGGAACCTCCCCAGCTCGTAGAAACACGACGAACGCCATCGGGGTTAGCCCTCCAAGAGGATTCCATTCCTGGCTCATGGCAAACGGACTCTCGGTGGTGAACTCCTCTGAACCTAGTGGTCGAGTGATACAAAACACATCATCAGCTCTTGCAAAGAATGCCACTGCGAACCAGGGAGCAAGTTCTCTCCCCAACACGGCGGCTCAGCCCATTGATAAAACTCTCATCGGAAGAAACCGAGTTCAAGTTGATTTAACTAAAGATGACGTACCTGTAGCTGCAGAGAAGAAGAAAGTGGAGGTCGGTGATGCGGGTATTGAGGTTAACGGATTGATAGCCCTTTCACCATACTTCGAAACCAAGATGAAGCCTGTAGATGGATACGTTCCTCTGTCTATCTTCAATACGATGTGGCTAAAGCAGGATCTGATCCGGTATTCCTCACGAAACAAGAAAGAGAAGAAAGATGATGAGAAGTACACTGGCCTTCCTATACCTGATGAGTGGAAGATGAGTTTCGGAGAATGGGTAACTGCGTTCGACTTGTTCATCTCTTACCTGCGACACTATGGCCATACCGACTTGGCGGATTGGTTCTTAATTCATCGTGAGAATGTCTTAGCGATTAAGCGGGAGCGCGTTTCTTGGATAATGGCCTTCCGTTACGACCAATCCATACGGACCACCGTCATGACCTTTAGGAACGCAGATGGTAAATTGGCTAATCCAGCAATACGGGACGAGACTAGAGAAAGAGAAGCTTGGAATGAGACGGAACACCTAGGTGATCTCTTACCTCGTTACGCCGAAATCAACCCTTATTTGGACGGACAACCTAAAAGTCATATTAATCCTATCTCGGGGGAAGTCAACTCCTACGGTCACCAACACTCGTACTCTTCTTCTAATGGGCACCTTACCCATAGCAATCACCACGGGAAACCCAACACCAGGTCGTGGGCCCATTCGAATCAGCCGGTTTATGACGGACCGGGTAGCTCAGGTTATGTCAACTACGACGACAGAAGAAACTCTGGTCGGAACGTGAGAGGACGCGGTCGAGGTGGAGGTTGGACGTCTCATGGATCTGGGAACCGAGATAACCGTGACGGTCGCGATGCAGACAGATCGAATGGCTGTGACAACGACTACTACGATAGCCGTAGAGGTGATGGTAGTGGTTCCTGGAGAAGAGACGAAAGACGCGATGAGCGCAGAGGAGAAGGAAACGGACCAAAGTTTGGAGGAAACGCCAAGGCAAAGTAAGCCAGATATACAGAGTGATCATATGAACCTTCTTCAAACCTCTATAGTGCTACGTGCACCAATGCCGCGACCTCGTATAGAATGGTCAGAATAGTGGTACTCACAATTTGTGATTTCTTGATTTGTTGTCCCGATGTGACCGAGCATTTCCAATACTCAGATATAGTCTCTCATTGTCGCCGCCTGTTCCCTCATTCTCCCAGTTTGACATCTCAGTGGAGTTGATCTTGTTGCCGCACTTTGTGATGATGTAGTGATAGTAATGGAAATATAACTTGGCGAATATTTGTCTGACATTGTTGGATCCCTCTCCCGCGTAACCTAGCTCAAGTTTTGATTGGCGATCTGCAGTGACTGAACCAAGGATAAGCCCATGCTTGAGAGTTACACCCCAAGCTACAAACGTGAGACTCGTACCTTACAAGAACTCGGGTAGTTCTTATGACCCAAGATGGCCACTCGAATACGCCGTGTGCGATCTGAACTTAGCTAAGTGGAAATCGCTTATAGCACTTTATGGGATACGAGGTGATGCGAAGGAGGTCATTAAAGGCTGCATCGAGGGGTTCCATCAGGGTATTCCGGAGCACACCCTCGGTGGGAAGAAGTGGTTTACACCGGAGAATCACGAATCAGCTAAACTTGCGTCAGAGAAGATTCGGAACACTTTAGAGAAAGAAAAGCGAGCAAACCGGATATTTGGCCCCTTTACACACGAGGAAATGTTTCAGAAAATAGGCTTTTTCCGGTCGAGTCCCATGGGTAGTGTTATCAATGGCGACGGATCGTTTAGGATCATCAATGATCTTTCCTACCCCCACAATGAAGATGAAATTCCGTCAGTAAACAGTTTTGTAGACAAGAAAGACTACGCTACTACCTGGGACGATTTTAAGATAGTCGCCAGATTCTTTAGAGATAACCAAGGAAACTACTTACTAGCATTGTTTGACTGGGAAAAGGCATATAGGCAGATCGCCATACACCCTTCCCAATGGAGGTACTTATTGCTGATGGACTTGTCACATAAGCTGTGGTTAGATACAAGAATCCAGTTCGGGGGTGTAGCTGGTTGTGGAGTTTTTGGACGACCAGCAGATTTATGGAAGTTAATTATGGTGGCTGCGTTTAATCTGGTAAAAGCGTTTAGGTGGGTGGACTACTAGTGAAAGAAGTTATGAACCCCACGACAATCAAAGACATCGTAAAACTCAGTTTCGAGATGGGGGTGACTTCCAACTCAGAAAAGGTCCACGACTTCGCGGAGGAGCAACGTTACATTGGCTTCGTCTGGAATGCGAAGGAGAGGTCAGTAAGGTTACCCGACAATAAATTTAAAGCGAGGTTGGAAGAAATCGAAAAGTTCTTAGTTCCTAATGCCTCCTTTAACCTGAAAAGAGTAGAAAAGTTCGTGGGAAGGTTAGTACACACGACTTACATCGTACCCCACCTTCGATGCTATATGTCAAGCCTATATAGATGGGAGCAAGAGTGGAGGGTCCCGTCAGCGAAGAGGAAAGTCCCAGGAGATGTGGAAGAAGATCTTCAAGAGTGGCTACTAGCCATGAAGAATTTTCAACCAAGAAGAATGATCCCTGACCAAGTACCCATCGACCTGGAGTGGGTAGGTGACGCGTCCCTCACTGGCATCGGTATCCTTGTAGGCTCTAAATGGGCCCAATTTGATTTGTTGGCAGGTTGGAATGTGTTGAAATATGGTGTTAAGCGAAATATAGCTTGGGCCGAAACTGTTACAATTCGGCTAGGCTTAATTATGGTCAACGAATTCACTCAGACAGGAGGGAAGTCCTTCCTGGTCTTAACTGATAATACAACGTCTCAAGGAGCTGTAGAAAATAAGAAATCAAAAGATCAGGCTGTGAATGGCGAGTGGAAGAAGATTCAGAAGTTGCTGGAGAACTTACACTGCGACATTGTGGCTCAGAGAGTGAAATTGGGTGACAATTTAGCAGATTTGCTGTCACGAGGGAAGGATAAGAGGTCTATTGAAAACAGAGTGATTATCGAGATCCCTGCAGATTTGACATGCTTTGTAAGACAAGTGAAATGACGCACTATGATGAAATGTATTTATCTCATACCACACTTGCTTCAACTGAGAGAGTACTCAGTTCCTTCCGTTTCCGTTTGTGTTTGTCCCCTTGAGATGAGGTATGTTTCGAGTGAGATTCGATCGTCCCGATCAGATGCTTCCTGTCTCGGACACCTGGGAAGTGAGACGGGGCCAACAGGTGAAAGAAACCAAAATGGGTGAAGTCGCTGCGTGGGTTTCCTTTGGGAGAAACTGTACCGATCTCGACAAGCCTTACTCTATCACGATTAGATGGAGTTCTTAAAAGATGCAGACGGAGTCGATTCTTCGAAAACAGATATAGTTAAATCTTACATTATTGGTGGAGCCTGGTCGAACACGACTATAAAACATTATAACGCGGGTGTTGTAAAGTTGATCAGCTTCGCGCGGGATTGTAATATACCAAGAGCACGTCTACTTCCAATCGATCCAGAGGTCTTAAGTCATTTTGTGGTGTGGGCGGGACCAAAAGCAACACCAAATTGTCAACCTAGTAGTCCAATTCCAATCAAATCGAACACCATCAGAACTTACTTATCGGGTATCAAGGCATGGCACCTCTTTCATGGGATCGACTACCCGCATAAGGAGACACCTCGGATAGAAGCAATCTTGACAGCAGCTAAGAGACTGGAATTACAATCGGAAGTCACAGAAAAGAAAGAACCAATCTTGATCAGAGACTTGTTTAACTTATTGAACAACTTGGCAGGAAGAAATTTAGAAAGTCAAGTGGCCTACACAGTGGCCCTTGTTGCCTTCTGGGGTATGGCTCGGTTAGGGGAGTTGGTGAAAGCATCGAGTAATCTGGATCAGGTGTTGGTGAAAGACTTGGTTTGGGATCCAAAAGGAGACTTCATCAAAATTCGAATTCGAGCGGCAAAAACCGCGGCAGTAGGAGAAATACAGGAAATTCACTTACAATATCAAGACTCGCTTCTGGATCCTATCAGTGCTATTGAACGATTGATTGATGACACCAACTCAACCAATGATGATCCCTTGTTTGCGTACCCAAAAGGGAAGAAGAGAATCACATTAACAAAATCAAGATGTTTAAGAATATTTTCGGATTCTTGGAAGATGCAAGGCAAATGTAAACTTACGGGACACTCGTTTAGGGTTGGGGGAGCCTCCCTGAGGTGGAACCTGAACAGCCCATTAGAGGAGATTGTCGCTGTGGGGCGCTGGAAATCGAAAGCATACAAGCTTTATATTAGAGAATATACAGAGGAGGATTTGCTAGATACAATTAAACTATTAGAACATGTAAAAATTGGGGACTGATCATAATTACATGCTCATAACGAGAATATGTTACCCGAGCCTGTAGGCAACACCTCGACAGGTAACTTAACTCGTATTCCCCTCGTCTCTTGTTGGGACGTGGTCCTGCAAGGGGGGGAATAGCTTGACACAGGCCGCAGTAGGATGGGCGATCGCAGGCTCAGGTCTGCGACCTGAGTCAAGGGGAAGCGATCTCCCGCCGACTGCTGCCGGTGTCCTACCTCCCTCAGCCTCCTTAGGGCAGAGGGCCCCCCCCAAGAAGCTTGAGGTTTCCCATACGGACTCCTTAAGTTTGAATGGGACAGCCGGTAGAAAGTATTGCACCTACCATCAACTAGTGTACAACACTATAAGAAATAATGAAATACATAATTGAACTTACTCACCTATGAGCCACAGTGAGTTAAGAGTGGAAGTGAGAAGGTGTTGGCAAAAATTGCTGTTGAGATCAAAGAAAAATCCATTGATAGCAATATAACTATGTGAGCAAGCTGGACTAGTCCAGCAGTCAGTTGCGGTAGCAGTTGAACCAGGTACCTGAGAGGTCTCATCAATGAGTTTCTTCTCCACAGTAACAAACAATTGATCAGTGTCACCCTTGATTTCCATTTGACCATGCCAATGAAACAAGGGAGCAATTTCTCAAAGGGCTTGTTGAATTAAATCTCCTTGAAAGACACAAAAAGGAAGGTTCTTGTCAATGATTGCTCCAACCAATGGTGTGTGAAGGTGCTTCTTGTGATGAGCTGCAACATTAGGATCTTCATTGGGGGGAATACTACCTGGAGCCCAAAGCATCCATGCTTCAGCCAAACCAGGGCAAGTGCGGTGGCATTTGTGAAGATTGGAATTTGATTAAAATAGGATATCAAGACTGATTGATAGGTGATATCAGTAAAATTCTGGATATCACACGCTTGAATCTACATAGACAAAGGACTTACGGGCAGTGATTGCAGCTGTAGATGTAGGATAAGAGTCCATTCTTGTTTCCCGCAGGGTTGGCCTTTGGTTCCTGTTCATGGTATAGCGGGGAAAGGAAAGAGTGTTATGAAGATAGATCAGAAAATCATTTGATGTACATAGCAAGTTGAAGTACTTACATCATAGTATTGGTAAACATCTGATTGCTGCTTGCCAGTTGGGCTTGTACCTTTGCCATTCTCCAACTTAATGGTTGGGTCTGTCAACACAATGGTCCTAGGAAAACATGGTTGGACTAGGACAATGCCAGTCCCCGTTCCATAATTAGAGGAGGTTGGACACGAGGTAGAGATTCTATCAGATGATGCAGGGTTATGCCAAAGGTTGGCATAGGGCACTGGCTTTGGATGGGCGTGGGCAGCATTGAATTTAGGCATTATGGAATTAAAATGATTGATGGGTCTTCAGACAAATAGATGGCACAAAATAATAAAGATGGAGCAAGAGATCAGTGGAAGGTTCAGGGGAAAGAATTGAGCCAAAATAATTGAGACAAGCCTACTACTTATACTCACCGGATCTCAAATTCCATCTCCATTTCTCCAATAATCTTCATATTGGAGTTGACATGATCAAGCGCCATTGTCCATTGTTATGGCTGAAGCTCGCAGCGACAAGGTTTGGTGATGATGAGGGTTCTCAGCGTAAACTAACTAGATTGCAGTGTGAGGAACAATACAAGGGGTGATCGTGGAATGTGAAAAGAGTCCAGATCCCAACCCTCTCTACTAGCATAACTCCGTATAAGGCTCATAACAGTACCCCCCTTTTAACGCCCAAGCTCCTCTTGCAGCTCTGCGTTCTTCCCCGGGTCAGCGTTAAAAAACCCAGTGGGAAAAAGCTTGACCCTCCCTTCATT